TGCAGGTTCGAAAGAGGTAAACGATAAGGAACGTCGAGGATTGTACAGCCGATAAGTCCCTCTGCCCATATGCAGGAATCACACCTCTTCTGAGCTGCGCAGCAAATAAAAGGGAGAGAAATCATCATCATAAGATAAAAAAATCTGTTGAACAAAAGGTAAGCCTCAGCAGATCGAAAAACAAGGCTACTCTACTGCGTACAGCAGTCCGTTCTATTCAAGTCGTGCGCAAAGGATTTACCCCCGCAAATATTTGCAATGTTATTCACCTGTAGAAGTGCAAGGCCTTTCCGCCATACAGAACATAACCAGCCAACTATGGTTTACGAGCCGGAGCTCCATCGGGAATCGACTTAGATCTGTGGGAATAACATCATCGTAGATAACAAGGATTTTGGCTAAGAGAAGATCAGCAATAATACCCCCCCCCCCCCCCCCCCTGCTTGTCGTCCCGCGCTCGCCTCTCGTCGGACGCACCCCGTCCGATCATCTCGCCCCGTGCACCGGCCTGACCTGCCCTACTTTGCTACACAGGGTCGTGTCCATCTTCTCCGAGCCGTACTGGTTCGTCTCGTCTCGCTGCCACCTCCCCCCCTTCGTCGACGCGAGATCACCTCGGAGCGCGTTCCCCCCGCGTCGGGCCTCATCGCCGTCACCAACGGCCCTTTAGCCTCGCCGCACGACCACAGCTGACCAAGCACTCTCCCACCCGCTCGCACGCACGCAGGCAGAACTTCTACATCATCCAGGGCAAGGCGCTCAACACGACCATCAAGCTCGGCGCCTGGGGTGCCTGCACCAAGTACCGCGTGCGTCCTCTTTGCCCTCCCTCTGTCGCCTGTGTTGTCCCCGTGTACTGACTGGTCGTGCGTGCCGCAGAACAACACTGGCATCGTTGGCCCCGACGAGTTCGTGCGTCGACCTTCCCCTCCACCTCCTGGTCGGGCAGCGCAGGCTGACCTCCTTCTCGAGCGCAGTGCACGAGCGTCAAGTCCGGCTACGACTTCTACTTCGTCCCCAACGCCACCGAGGGCGGCATCGACCAGTTCGTGCGTCCCTGAGCCTCGCCGGCGCCAGTTCTCTACTGCACCGCCCCCCTCAACCTCGACGAGCTGACCCTCTATCTCCCCTCACAGCCGACCGTCAAGGGCGACTCTGCCATCCTCGGCCTCGACGCCGCCGACAGCGACCGCATCTTCATCATCGGCTCGAGCGCCACGTCCGTCTACTGGATCCACGTCGTCGGTGCGTCTCTCGTCCCCTCTATCTCTCTCTCTCTCTCTCTCTCTATCGCCCGTCCTACACGAGCGTACTGACAAGCTCCCTCTCGCAGCCGCCATCACCGCCCTCCTGTGCATGATCTCGCTCCTGTTCCCGCCGCGGTACTTTGGGTCCGAGACTTCGCGGCTGTTTGCGCTGCAAAAGTCGGGCATCATCACGATTCTGCTCGCGCTCGCCGCGTTCGTCATCACCATCGTCGCCTTTGCCGCCCAGTTGGCCGTTGCCATCCCGGCCCGCAACCGGTTCGTCGCCGCGTCGGACCAGATCGAGATCAAGCTCGTGCGTCCCTCGATCCTTCTCTCCGAGCCGAGCGACATACTCACGCCTCTCGGTCGTTCTCGCAGGGCAACGTCCAGTGGTTCGTGCTGCCGTGCTTTATCCTCATGATCCCGGCGCTCCTCAGTGTGGTGCGTCCCCTCCCCCTTCGTCCTCGTCGAGCCTGGCCCAGAAGCTCACCTCTCGCTCGCCCCGTAGCTCCTCCGCTCGACGGCCGCGCACGAGTACACCGACCTCTGAGCGCCTCCTGTCGCTCTCGGGCCGCCGGCGCGCGCGCCCCCTCCCCCCCTCATGGACCCTCGCCTGCTCTCCCCCTTTCACGCCCTCGCCCTCGCTCCACGACCCTCGCCTCTGTCGACACGCACCCACACACACACACACACCTCCGTATGTAGACACTCTCTCGCGCGCACGCCCCCCTCCTCCTCGCCCCTCGCCTCGTTCATAGACCGCGCCTGTTTGCCCCGCTTGTCCCTCCTCTCCTCCCCTTTCCCTCTTCTCGGCTTGCGCGATCCGGTGCGGGCGGGCGTGGAACATGATACCCCTTTTGCATACTCGTCGTCGAGGAGCACCCGAGAGCGAGAGATCGAGCTGGGCGAGAGCGAGAGAGAGAGGGTCAAAGCGCAGGCTCGGTTCCACAACGACAGACGGCACAGACAGGTACAGCTACAGACTCGTCGCTCGCTCGCTCGCTCGCACCGGCACCCGCTCCCTTCACAAGTGCTCCCTGAACCACGCCGCCGTCCTCTCCAACCCGAGCGCGAACGCCTCCTTCACGAGCGGTTTCGCGAGGTCGGGCCTCGCGCCATAGCCGTGCACGGTCCCGAGCGCGTCGTCCCACGTCTTGATGGGCGTGCCGCGCTCGACAGCGAGCGCCGAGAGCGTCGAGAGGACGGCGGGCTTGATCGGGTCTAAGAAGGCGTCTTCTGCGGGCGCGAGGGAACGGGGCCCACGACTCGAGAGGGTCAGTGTCGCGACCGAGACAAAGAGCCAAGGCGAGATGGCGAGGGAAGAGAGAGAGAGGGGCGGGAGCGCACCGCCGGCGAGCGAGAGCATGAACGGCACGGTGACCGGCTTGAAGTCCTTTGCGTTGATCGGCGCCGGGTGGAACGCGACGACGACGTCGACGGGCTTGGGCACGTGAGAGCTGCCGGCGAGGTGAACGGCGTGCGCGCCGCCCCAGCAGTAGCTGTGCATGGGCGCGAGGAAGGAGGAGGAGGAGGACGGGTTGGGAAGGTCAGTCGGCTAGGTCCGAGCGCCACGATTGAGGAACGGGAGAGAGAGAAGCGGGCGCACCCAACAAAGCCGATGCGAGTGTAGCCCGCGTCCTTGCGCAGGTCGAGGCAGAACTGCGGACGAGGGAAAGGGAGAGGCAAATCAGGTCGGGCTCTCCTCGGTGCGCTCGAGCGAGAAAGAGGAGGTCGGGCGCACCTTTTCTGCGAGCGAGAGCGTGTGTGCCGCGCTGTGGCGGAACAGGTACGCCGGCCCGATGCCGTAGGAGAACGCCCACAGCGCGTTGGCCTGGTACTTGAGGCGCAATAGGAAGGACCGTCCCTTGGTCGGCTCGTCCATGAGGTCGATCTGCGGCTGGATGCGGCTCGCGTTGATGTAGTCGCCTGACGAGAGGTGTCAGGGCGGGTTTTTTGAGGGCACGAGGAAGGAGATAAAGACGACGCACCCTCGAAGACGTCCGGGACGAGGACGTCGAGGCCCGACTTGCCCGCGAACCAGTCGGCCATGAGCTTGGCGTTGGGCAGGCCGAGCCCGAATAGGTCTGTTCCGCTGTCGGTGTCGAGGAGAGTCAGCTGCGTCGGGTGCGAGCGGCGCAGAGCGGGGCGAGGAGGAGGGAGAGAGGAGCGAGGACTCACAGGACGATGGCCTTGTCCGTGTGCTCGCCGTTGCTCTTGGCAAAGTAGTAGCCGAGGCCGTTGAGCTTCTCCATCGAACCCTTGGGGTCGCCCTCGAGCCTGTGGCCCTCGAGGCACGCCTGCGAGGTGAGGATGAGTGGCGAGGTGAGTGCGGGGCGCGAGGGTGGACAGAGAAGGGAGGGCGAGACGCACCGGGCAGGGATCGTCGTGGACGTGCGTCGTCATCGACATCGCAGAGCTGCGCAGCTGGCGAGGCGCGAGGAGGAGAGCGAGGAGAGGACGACGAGGCGAGACGATGGTCTGAGCGCGTGTCCGGGGCTCGTCGTCGAGCGGCGCGGTCAAGCGAGGTAGGTGTGATGCGCCTGGTCGAGCTGGTCGAGCAAGGCGCTGCACGCACAGCAGGGGAAGGCAGAGAGGGAGGGAGAGAGCGCGGGAGCTGGCACGCGAGGAACTTCCCGCGTGCCCGTTTGCGGCTGCGCTCCATGTGATGTGGCCAGGCGCCAGAGAGCTGCACGTGCGAGCGCAAAGGGTAGAGCCTGCCTGCCCATGGTTGGTCGCCAAGCTTGAAAGCTGTGGCCGGCTGGCCGCGTCGTCACCAGCTTCCCCGCACTCTGCTCTCCCTTCCTCAGCTCTCTCTGCGGCTACGACCACCACGCACAGCTCGCACTGCTTGACGCACACTCGCTCGCTCGCACCCACCACCTTGCCGCGCCGTATTCCCTCCCTCTCCCGACCTCGACCTCGACCTCGACCCTCGAGATGGCCCCCGCGCCCGACCTCCTCCACACGGCGCTGAACCGACACGCCTCGCAGCAGCGCACCTCGGACGGTGAGCCCCTGTCGCCCCAAGCCCTCGAGCGCCTGCGCCTCAGCAGCGACGACGACGAGCAGATCGAGGTCCGCACCCCGCTCGCGAGCGTCGCCGGCTCGGTCGCGTCGAGCCCGTCGTCGTCGCGCTCGGCGTCGCCGACCCGCGCATCTGCAGGGCGCCGCAAGGGCGGTGGCGCGGGCAAGCCGAGGCGGGACAAGACCAAGGAGCGCGAGAAGAGCGAGGCCATGAAGAACCCGGTCGACCCGTTCTTGCGGTTCCCGGGCCAGGTCCTCGGCCGCGTCCTGAGCTACCTCGGCTACCAGGACCTGACGAGGGTCGGCCTCGTCAGCAAGCGGTGGCGCAGGAGTCAAACCCTCAGTCCGTCCTCGACCTCTCCTCGTCCTCGAGTCTGTCCCCATCCTGACGCCCCCTTTCCGCCCCCCGCACAGACTACACGTGGTTCCTCCTCCTCCAGTCGTACACCTTTACCGACCCGGCCCACCGCACCCCGACCTACGCCGAGTCGACCGGCCTCCCGACCTGGCGCAGCAGCGAGGCGTCGCAGGACTGGGCGGCCCACTTTGCGAGCATCTACCAGCAGCCCGACGTGCCCGAGGGCGACGAGTCGGACCACGACGAGAATGGCCTCACGCTCAAGGAGGAGCGCGAGCTCAAGTGGCGCGACGAGAACGAGGCCGACGAGCTCGCCGGCATGGACAAGAACGCCATGCGCGAGTTTTACAAGGTGCGCCCCGCCTCTCTCTCTCTCTCTTGTCTCTCGAGACCTCTCTGACCTTCGTTGTGACACCCTGCAGAGCCTCGGCAACAAGAAGATGAAGGGCAAGCGCACAAAGGGCGGCGTGAGGACGCACGAGGGCGACGGGCTCGGACCTCCCGCCGACCCAGAAGTATGAAGCGCATCTCGCTCTCTCTTTCCCTCTCCTGCTGTACCCCCTCAGTCGTGCGGAACTCTCGAGTCGTCTAATACTGTAGCGATCCCCCCTCGTCAATACAACCTCCTCAGCTCCTCGTGCCACCTCGGTCGCTCGCCCTGCCCCTCTCCCGCTGGTCCTGCCTCCTCGCGCCGGAAGCGCACCGCGAGACGCGCCTCTGCGCTCCGAAAGACGACCTGGCCGAGCTCGGTAAAGCGCTCAAAGAGGCGCAGCTGGTCGACGAACGCTCGCGCCGCCGGCAGGAACGTGTCGCGCGCGAAGGCCTCGTACGCGTCTGAGTCGAGGGGGAGCGGGTGCTGCCCGTCGTGCTCGTCGTCGTCGGTCGAGGGTGTGGGCTGAGTGGCGCGGTGGATGTTGGCGAGGCTGAGATTGACGACGTTGGGAAAGAGGGCGAGAAGGGGCTCGAGGTCGTCGGCCGTGACCTGCAAAGCTGAGGACATGAGCTAGTGCACGACCACAAGAGAGAGAGAGAGAGAGATAGGGACGCACCCTCTCGCTCATTGGCTGGGCCTCGCCCTGCTTGGCGTGACTCTCGCTCGCGTCGTCGTCCTCCTCAAAGTCCTCGCCGCCATCGCCATGGTCCTTCGTGTCCTCGTCAAGCGCGAGCGCGATCTGGACCGTCGTCACCTTGAGCATCGGCTCGGTCCCGCTCCAGTTGAAGCGGTGGCGGCGGGCGTTGCGCAGCGAGGGAACGTCGATGAAGGCCATGTTGCGGACATTGGACGCGGTCAGGAGCGACAGGAACGACGGGAGGAGCCGTGCCCATTCGCGCTTGTGCGACGTGAGCGGGTTGAAGCCGTGCAGGGTGAAGCTGTCGAGCGGGTGCTGGCGAATGTCCTGCGGGCGCCGGCGAAGGAGGAAGAGGTGTGAGCGCTCGCTCTCGGGCTGCTCGAGAGTGCGAAAGAGGGACGCACCTTGTACCACGAGATCTGCCGCAGGTTCTCGGTCAACCCTTGAGGAAGGTCGGTCCTGCCCCAACCCGACTGGGCGGCGAACTGGAGGACCCGGGTCTGACGGCCGAGGTGCTCGAAGAAGCCGCGAATGATGTTCTCGTCAAAGTCGAGGTCCGGGTGGATGAGCCACTTGACGACGTCGATCTTGTGCTCGACCTCGAACGCGTCCCACTGCTGCCAGTCGCCGATGCTGACGTGCTTGAGCGACGGCATGATGTCGGTCGAGAAGGTGAAGGTCGGGTCCTCGCGGCTCTCCCAGAACGGGATCTCGAGCGCCTCGAGGTGCTTGAGGTGTCGAAGCGCGTTCGTGAACGACGTGCGGAGCGTCGTCAGGCCCGCATAGTCGTCCGAGATAAACTCGTCGGGGACGTTTTGTGGGAGAAAGGCGAGGACGAGGTAGGTGAGGTTCTCGGCGATGGGCAGGAACACCGGCGACATGTCGTTGTACAGGTCTGCGACAACGAGAGCGCGAGAGCGTCAGGACCTCGTACTGCTCGAGGAACGCGTGCCCAATGACGAGAAGATAGAGAGGAGGGGAAGGAAGGAAAGCAGTCGACGCACATGAGGGCTGCCAGTACAGCTCGCGGACGTAGGTATGGATGTCCTTGGCCGAGTAGAAGTGGACCGTTCGTGTCCTGCGCTTGTCGTCGACAAAGACGAGCGTGCGGTACAGGAGCGGGCGCACGACTCTGGCGAGCCGGCGGCACGTCGCCGCCATCGAGCGGAGCTCGTCTCGTCCCTCGCGCATGTACCGCGACGGCAGGGTAAAATGGCCGAGCTCGAACGGGATCGGCGGGTTGTAAAAGCGCGAGATGGCGGCGATGAGCTCGTCGGGCAGTCGGAGGAAGTGGGCCTGGCCGACGTCGTCTTGTCGCGTCCTGCGCACGCGTTCTCGAGGTCAGCCCTGCACTCCTATGTCCAGTCGGTAACTCGCGAGGGGACGCACGAGGACTGGTCGGTGTTTCTGCGGGAGGAGAGGAGGGTCGGCTCCTGCGCTCGAGGACGTGCGTCGTCCTCACGGGCTCTCGCGCGGCGCTTGGCCGCCGCCGACTTGCGCAATCCAGACTCAATGCTAGAGAGATGGGGACGCACCGTGTAGAATTGCCGCCGTCTGCCCTGCTGCTCTTGACCTCGCTCATGACGCGACCTGCTCCGAGTCGACGAGGCGGATGCGAGCGAGCGTGTCGAGCTATGCGCGGGGCGTGGGAGCTGGCGCAAGCTCTGGGCGAGCTCTGGACGTGCTGCCGAGCGTGTAGGCGTGGGTGGTGAAGCGAGCAGGAGGTGCCGCAGCTCGACCCGGCTCGGCCATTGTGCTCCCCACTCGGCCGGGGAGCGAAGGCGAGCGAGTTCGACGGCTCGATACCATCGAGCAGGGAGCGCGGTCGAGCGTGCAGCTGCTGGTCCTGCGCGAGCAGCTGGGGCTCGAGCCGGACGCGAGGGAGAGTGGTACGAGAGTGAGCGGCGAGAGAGATCGACACGATTACGAACGCCGTATAGCGAAGGTTGCTAATCTCGATCTATTGCGGTTCGGCCGAGCGCTCGAGCCTCGCCGGCGAGCTCCGCCGGTTCCCCTCGCTCTTCGCGTCCGCTCCTGGCTCTCCCTCGCCCCTCTCGCTACACGCACCCGCTGCGAGCGCATGCACGAGCGACTCGGCACCGACGACTCGCTGCTCGAGGTCGACGGCCTCGCCGACTTTGCCGCCCGCCTGCGCGACAGCAACTCGTCGAGCGGTGCGGCAGGAGGCGCAAGCGGCAGCAGCAGCCGCGGTCGGGAGGGCCAGCAGCGAGGGTGGGTCCACGACGACAAGGAGCAGGACAACCCGCACTTGCAGCCGGCGCGCTACAGCCCTCGCGACCTGCCCTTCCCCGCCGGCTCCTCTCCGCCTTCAACCGCACCTCGAACCTCGGCCTCGCCGACAGGGCGTGCAGACCTCGACAGCGACGAGTTCCCGTCCGGCTTGCACCCGACCGCAGCCAGGACCTCGCACGCTCGCCCGTCGCTCCCTCGACCCGCCTGGTTCGAATCCCCTCCTCCTCGCGCTCGCCCTCACCTCGAGCGAGAAGGGCCACTCGACGTCGACCACCGGCACCAAGACTCGCTGCGCAGCGCGACGTCCTACGGCCACCCTCCCCCGTTCTCGCCCGCCTCGACGCTCCCCTATCCTCCTCCGCCGCCATTCGTCTCGCCCGCCTACGCCGACCCGTACGCCGTTGCCTACCCGTTCGACCACTCCGTCGAGTACCGCACCGACGTTCGCGGCGACCTCGGCGCGTCGAGCTGGTCCGCCACGACCGCCGACGTCGACGTCGAGCACGATGCCGCGAGCGAGAAGGGCTATGCCGCTCTGCCCGGCCCGAGCGTCGGCGAGTGGCACGCTCCCGGCGGCGCATACCTCCATGGCGTCGGGTTCGACGACTCGCACGCTCGCGGCGCCGCTCAGCCGGCCAAGAAGAGCGCTGCGGCGCTCGAGCGGCGGCGCGAGCAGCTCGCGCGCAAGTTTGGCGGGTCGAGCGGTCGGCCGGCGGCGACAGGCGTTCGAGCGGGAGCGCGAGGAGCGAGGACAGAGGAGGAGGAGGCGACGGGCGTCGATGCGGGCGGGCGGCTCGTCACGGTCGGGCGCCGCAAGCGCGTCTTCCTGCGGTGCGCTCAGGCTGCGGGCGCTCTACTCGTCGGCGTATGCGCGATTGGTGCAGCTGTGCGTCCCAATTCTCTCTCTGGGTCAACGCTTGCGAATCTCACGCAGGCCCTGAACCTGACCGCGATTTGACCTTCTGCAGTTCACCCACCCCGTCGAGTCGGCCGACCATCCCGCTCCGGCGCCAAAGGGCTCAGCACCTCATTGGGCCCTCATCGTCCTCCCCTTCCTCAGCCTCTCCCTCACGCTCTACCTGTTCGCCCTCCATCCGTGCCTGTACCGCCGCCAACGAGCGCGCGAGGACCCGGCGCACGGACCCGGCGGGGCGGCGCCGGGCGCGCTCGGTGTCTACCCGCTCGTGCAGCCGCAGCAGCCGTCGCACTCGAAGCGTAGCTGGTTCGGCGGCGGCGATGCACGAGGAGGACGAGGAGGAGGTCCAGGAGCCGGCGGCGGCCTGAGCGTCAACCTCGTCGTCGACCCGAGGTTCCTGCCAAGGTTCGACGGCGTCGACGACGCACAGCGAGCGTCTGACGTCGAGCGGCGGGAGCGGCAGCAGAAGAAGCGGCGCCGCAAGCGTCAACGCCGGCGCGAGGAGCGACGACGAGCCGCCGCCGCCGCAGGCGAGGGCGCCGGCCTCTCTTCTTCCTCCTCGTCGTCTTCCCTTTCGAGCCTGTCGTCCGACGACTCGGATCCTTGGACCGCCTCGAGGTCGGCCGCCGGTCCTCGCGACAGCACGTCGAGCAACCCGCGGCGGGCCCTCCTCTCGCACCTCTCGCACGAGGCGACCTGGCGCGCGGCACGGTCGTTCGGCAAGCGCATCGCGGCGGTCGACTTTGCGTGCTGCGTCGTCTGGGGCGCGGTGAGCGTGTGGGCGATCGGGTGGGCGGGCAAGTGTACGCCGGGCGTCGGCGAGGGCTTTTGGTTCGTCGCCTCTCTTTCTCTCTCAGAAGGAGCCTCGATGAGGGACGACGAACGAGAACTGACTCTTCTCGCACGCTCGCAGTAACCTGTTCAACTCGGCCGAGGCGTGCGCTGTCCTGGCGACCGTCGCTTTCGCGTCGTCGTTCGCGCTCGACTGCTTCGACTTGAGTCGAGCGAAATTGAGCCCGAGGATGCGGCAGCAACGTCTCGTCGGGTCTGTGTAACCTTCTCGCTCGTGTGCAACGACCTTTCGTGTCTCGCGAGAAGTCCATCGCGAGGCAGCTCAGCCGTGAAAGAAAGCGTCCCCCTCTCGCAGATGACGTGTCGCTCGAGCATCGTACTGCAGGACGAGCGCTGCCGACCAAGACTCATCATAGGGCTTCGAGGAGATTCAGGCTGAGCGGCGACGAGTTTCGGGCCGAGAGTCAGACCGCGCAGGCGTCGAGAGCGAGCTGGCCGCTCAGGAGGAGGACGAGCCGACGAGGCCGTCTCGCTCGCCTGCTGCAGTGCTGCGCGATCTGCTTCTTCTCGCTCGCTCTCGCTGTCTGCTGCCGCTCGTGCCGACCACGAAAGCCTGTGAGGAACGGCGTCGGCCTGAAGGAGCAAACTAGTCGACCTTCGCAAGTCAGGCGGCCCGCTCTCTCTCGGTCGAGAACAGGCGCCAGACGCTCTCGCTTGCTCTCTCGCTCTCGATCTCTCAAGCTCGACAAAGGAAAGAGGAAGAGAGAGGGAAATCGAGGCTGTGGGCATTGTCAACCAGGCTGCACGCCGACCGTTCGAAAGGCCAACACGGCGTCAAAGTCGTCCTGCACGCAAACGTCGTCTTCCCCGCTACGCCAGCCAAGCGAGAGCGGAAAGGGGAGGAAGGGGAGGGGGGAAGGGGGTAGGCAAGAGGGAGGGACGGGCGAGGAAAAGGGGAAGCGGACGACGACTCAGTCAAGAGCGCGCTCGGTCCTCCCTTTTTACGCCGACGACGACTCCTCGGCGGCGGCCGGGGCAGCCTCCTCGGACGACGCGGCCGGGGCCGGGGCGTCGGTCTGGCGCTGCGTGTACTCGGCGAGGACGTCGAGGGCCTCCTGGACCTTGGCCGTGAGGGCCTCGTCGTTCTCGAGGAGGTACAGGAGCTCGCTCGAGTCCATCTCGAGGAGCATGCCCGTCACCTTGCCGGCGAGCTCGGGCTGCGACGCGTGGATGCGCGGGTACAGGGCCTCGCCGAGCATCTGCTTCTGCTCGGCCGGGGCGGCGTTGGCGAGCATGGCGGCGGTCAGGCCCGGGGCCTTGGCCTCCTCGGGGCGAGCGCGACGCTGCGGCGGCTGGCCGGCCTGGGTCGGGCGCGGGACGCCGTTGGGCGGGATCGGGGCGCCACGCGGCGGGAGCGGCGCGCCGTTGGGGAGGCCGGCCTGGCCGGGGCGCTGCGGGACGCCGGCGGGGAGCGGCGGCTGGCCGGGCTGGCCGGGGCGACCGCCGGCCGGGGCGGCGCCGCGAGGGCCGGCACCGGGCGCGCCAGGGGGCGGCGGCGGGTACTGGCCGAACTGCTGCGGCGGGACCTGGCCGTACGGGCCGCCCATCGGGGGCATGCCCGGCATGTTGGGCGGCGCGTAGTAGCGCGGGCGGGGCATGCCGCCGGGGCCGGGCTGCGGGTAGCCCATGGGGCCGCGAGCGCCAGGCTGAGGGTAGCCGGCGGGCGGGTAGTAGCCCGGCATGGGCGCACCCGGCATGTAGGGCGGGATGCCCGGGATGCCGGCGGCCTGGAGCTGCTGGGCGCGGATCTGGTTGCGCTGCGCGACCTGCGCCTCGAGCTGCTGCTTGCGGACGTCCTTGCGCTGGGCGAGGGCGACGTAGAGCGGCTTCTGGCCGAGCATCTTGCCGTTGAGCTCGGTGACGGCCTTGGTCGCCTCGTCCGGCGACGAGAAGCACACGAAGCCGAAGCCACGCGACGCGCCCTTGTCGTCGACCATGATCTTGCACGACGTGATCTGGCCGAACGCCTCGAACTCGGCCTTGAGCTTGTCCTCGTCGATGTCGTCGTCGAGGTTCTTGACGTACAGGTTGACGCTACAGGTCGTCGAGGGCGAGGGCGAGGGTGACGATAAGAGTGGCGCAAGAGGGAGAGAGAGGGGAAGGAAGAGGATGAGGGCGAAAAGAGTCAGTCACTGACGAGGAGAGGGGGAGAGAAAGAGGGAGAGAGAAAAAGGCCGACGCACCCCTGGTACTTGAGGGTCTGCTCGTACTTCTTCTGCTCGTACGACTTCTTGAGCTCCTCCTCGCGCTCGCTCTTGCGCTGAGCGCGAGCGACGTAGAGCGGCTGGCCCTTGTAGTCCTTCTCGTGGAGCTCCTCGACGGCCTTGGCGGCGTCCTCGTGCTTCTCGTAGTTGACGAAGCCGAAGCCCTTGGACTTGCCGTCCTGGTCGGTCGAGACGACGGCCGACGTGACCTGGCCGAACGGCTCAAAGATCGAGCGGAACTCGGCCTCGTCGACCTCGAGCGGGACGTTCTTGATGTACAGGTTGGTGAAGCGGGCCTTGATCTCGTCAATCTTGGCCTGGCGCTCGCGCTTGGGGATGTGGATGCCGACAAAGACGACCTTGTCGTTGAGGAGCATGCCGTTGACGCCCTCGATGGCGGCGCGAGCGGCCTCGGCCGTGTCGTAGTGGACGAAGCCGTACCCGAGCGAGTTGCCCTGGCCGTCGACGGCGACCTTGCACGACAGGATGTTGCCGAACGCGGCGAACGTGTCGTGGAGCGCCTTGTTGTCGATGTTCTCGTCGAGGTTCTTGATGAAGATGTTGCCGGCGCCCGTCTTGCGGAGCGACGGGTCGCGCTGCGACCACATGATGCGGCACGGGCGGCCCTTGATCGACGAGTAGTTGAGCTGCTCGAGGGCGCGCTCGCCGTCGTTCGAGTTGAGGTAGTTGACGTAGGCGTAGCCGAGCGAGCGACGGGTGACGGCGTCGCGGCAGACACGGATCGACGCGACGGGACCAATCATCGAGAAGACTGCGAGGCGAGAGAGCTTGTCAGTACGACTCGGAGGGAGAGAGGCGAGGGAGAGGCGGACGCACTCTCGTAGAGCATGGCCTCGGTGACGGTCGGCTCGAGCTCGCCGACGTAGAGCGACGTCGAGGGCGACGGGCCCGAGTTCTTGTCGTTGTTGCTGCTGCTGTTGCCCGACTGGCTGGCGGCCGGGGTCGACTCGGACGCGGGCTTGGCCTCGTCGTTGTCCTCCTTCTTGGCCTCGGCGGCCGGAGCGGCGGCCGGGGTGGTGGTGGCCTCGGCGGCGGGAGCCGGGCTCGAGGCGGCGGGAGCCTCGGCCTTGGGCGAGGTGGCGTCAGACGACATGGCGTTGTAGGGCCTTAGGTGACGGTGGAGGGAGGGAGGAGGAAGGGGAGGGAGGGAAGCTGTGTGATGAGGATCCGGCTGTCGTCAGTGCTCGCTCTCGGGGGCCACGACGGTCGCGCGAGTCGAGTGGATAGGTGTAACGCACAAGTGGGTGCTGTCTGCTGCTTGGCTGGCGGGCTGGGGACGGCGAGGCGGGCGGGAACTCGGACTCGACGATGAGGACGAGGCGGCGAGAGGGCGGTTCTTCGGGCGACGAGCGTCGGGGGAGAGCTGCGTCCGGCTGGAGGGGGTTTTCTGGTGTTTTTGGGAGGTTTACGGGGGCGCACGAAGCGTCCGAGTGGTCTGCGAGAGCGGATCGAGCGGGAGCTGGCGAGAGGCTCAAACTTCGCTGCGACCGTGGCTCGCCCTCGCGGCCCACTCGCTCTCACACGCCCGAGTCCCGCCTCTCCTTTGTCGCCTTTGTCTCTTGCGCTTGACCGTGCTCGTCGCCGGACTCGTGAGAGCCTCTCGGAAATACTAGAACCGCAACTCGCGACTGCTCGAGAGAGCTCTCTCGAAAGCGCTCTCGACGACGACGACGACGATGAGAAAGAGAAACGACGACGACGATTCATAGTATCAACACAGTTGACCGACGGCCTCGCTCAACGAGAGACGATCCTCGCACCCCTCACGCGCTCACCACCGCAACGACCTCGCCCTCCTCCTTCGCGCCGACGACCGGCTCGACAGGCGCTGCAGCCTCGACGCCGGCAGCCTTGACCGCTTTCGGACCTGCCGGTGCGTCGGTCTCGGCGGCGGGCGCAGGCGTCGGCTCCTTGGGCGTCGAGGCCGTCACCTCGTCGCCGCTCGCCGGCTTGTCGGCCTCGGGCGCAGGCGACGACGCCGGCTTCTCGACGGGCGCAGGCGGCGCCTCGCTGCGGCTGCGCTTGGCCTCGGGCTCGCTCGACTCGTCGGCGGGTGCGGCGGGTGCGGGAGCGTCGGGCGTGCCGGACTCGGCGTCGGGCATGGGCTCGTCGGCGGCGACGGCGAGCGAGCGCTTGCGCGGGTTGACCGGCGCAGCGTCGACGCTCGGCGGCGAAGCAGAGGCGGGCGCCGGCGTGGCGGTCGAGGCGAGGCCGGGAGCGCTTGGCGAGGGCGCAGAGGTCGAGGAGGACGAGACCGAGGTAGGTCCGGGCGTCGCCGACTTGGGCGCAGGCGTGACGCCGAGGCTCATGAGCGCGTCGACGCCCTCGTCGTACTCCTCATCGACGTCGCGCTGCGGGAGCGTGCTCGCTGCGGGCGCGGCGGCGGCGACGGGCGTGGCGGGAGCTGGAGGTTGAGCGGGCGCCTGGACGGGCGACGAGGCCGAGGGCTTCCTGGCGCCGCCTGCGACGCCGTTGAGCACCGCCGCCGCCTTGGCCGCAGCGTCCTTCTCCTGCGCCGCCTTGGTCTTGCGCGGCTTCTTGGGCGACGCCGTGCCGTCCTCGCCCGCCTTGCCCTTCCTCCCTCCCTTCTTCGGCGCGTCGCCGTCCGCCGCCGAGTCCTTCTTGGCCCTGCTGCCCTTGGCCTTGGACGGCGTCGGCGCAGGCGCGGGCGTCGGCGTCGGCGTCGGCTCGGCGACCGCCGGCTTGACGTCGGCCGGGCCCGAGCGGTGGCTCGCCGCCGTCGACGACCCGCCCGAGCTGCGCCGCCTCGCGCTCTCCTTGGCCTGGGCCTGCGCGTGGGCCTGCGCCGACGGGTGCTGCGCCGGCGGGTAGCCGCCGTACGGGCCGGGCGGCGGGTTGTCGAAGAAGGGCGCGCGCCCTTGGCCGGTCGGCGGGCCCGACGGCGGCGAGCGCGGGTGCTGCTGCGAGTGCAAGTGCGGCTGCTGCTGCGCATGCGGGTGCGGGGGAGGTGGCGCCGGGTGCCGGCCGTTCGTCGCGCGACCGCCGGCGGCGCGCGCCGTGCGCTCCCACTCCATGGCGGCGGCGGCGTCGTGCGGGAGCGAGCCGTTCTCGCCGGCACGAGGAGGAGGAAGGCCGCCTGGCGGGCCCGACGAGAGGTGCGACGGGAACGGGTAGTTGGCGCTCGGCGGCGGGTGCTGGGCGTGCACGAGCGCGGGTCCGGGCGCCGACCCCTCGCCGCCGGGGCGAGTGCGCGGCGAGGGCGGCGAGACGCCCCGCACCGCCTTCATCTGCGGCAGGCGGTGCTGCGACGAGTGCGGCTGCTGCGGCGGGTGGTGCGCGGCCGGTGGGCCCGCAGCGATCGGGCGCGGCGACTGGTCGTGAGGGCCGCCCGACGTGCGCCGGTACGGGTCGGTCGAGCGCGGGCGCGAGCCGCCGGTGCTAGGGCGAGCGTCGAAGCGGTGCACGGCGCCCGGGGCGACGAGCGGCGAGCCAGGGCCCGTCGCGGTCGGGACCCGGGACTGGGGAGGGCCCGACGACGAGCCAGGCTGAGGCGGCATCGGCGGGCTCATGTCGGGGCCGAGGCCGACGTGCGCGAGCTGCGTCGGCGCGCCGCCGCTGTTGGTCGCGTAGTTCCAGCTCATCGAGCTCGGGCTGATGTCCTTGGGCGGCGGCGGGGCCGACAGCGGCGCGCCGCTCGCCTGGTGCTCGCGGATCTCGCGTAGGCGCTGCGAGACGGCCGTGTTGCTCGGGTCGAGCTGGAGCGTGCGCTGGTACGCGTCGATGGCGTCCGTCATCTGGTCGTTGCACGCCTCGTACAGGGCGCCCAGGTTGAACCACACCTCGGCGAGGTACGGGTGGATGCGGATCGCGCGCGAGTAGGCGTCGAGCGCGTCGTGGAACTGGTTGATGTTGTAGTACAAGACGCCGATCGAGCACCAGAAGGCCGGGTTCTTGCCGTCGCGGTACACGGCCTGCTGGTACGCCTCGTACGCCTTGCCAAAGTTGCTCGTCGTCATGTAGGCCCGGCCGAGCAGGTACCACGAGAACGGGTCGTTCGGGTCTGCGACGCATGCTCGACGTCAGGGTCGAGTCTCGAGAGGTCGTCGAACGAGAGAGAGAGAGAGAGAGAGAGGGGACGCACCCGACTCGAGCGACTTGGTCAGGATCTGGACCGACACCTCGGGGTTGTAGAACGGCGCGCGCGAGCGGTGGTACAGGCCGCCGAGCTGCTGCAGGACCTTGGCGTGCGCAGGGTTCTCCTGGAGGACGCGCTCGTACGACTCTTTGGCCGCGATGAACTGTGAGGGCGAGGAGGGTCAGTGACTTGGGACGAGGGCGCGAGGGAGAGGACCGTCGACGCACGTCCTTCTGCTGCTCGTAGACGTGGCCGATCTGGAACCAGATGTCGATCTCGGTGAGCGGTCGAGGCGGGTTGTTGAGGATGTAGCGGAAGCACTGCGAGGCGAGGCGAGGCGTGAGTCCCCTGGGGCGAGAGCCACGGTTGAGAGGGAGTAGGGGAGACGACGCACCTCGAGGCTCTGCGCCGACTTGCGCTGTTGCTTGTAGATGATGCCGAGGCGGAAGAAGATCTCGTTGGCCTTCTCAAAGTCTGCGCGCGAGAAGGAAGAAGGTCAGTTTCTCGCTCTTCTGAATGTCGAGCCGACAAGGGAGACGTCGAGACGCACTCGGGTCCATGCGGATGACGCTCGAGAAGGCCTCCTCGGCGTGCTCGAGGCTGCCGTAGCGGTCGTACAGGATGCCGATACCGTACCACAACTTGGGCTCGTGCGGGTTGGGCATGTAGTACAGGGCCTGCTGGTACGAGCTGTACGCCTTCTTGAGGTCGTCGATCATGAGGTAGCAGTGCCCTGCGAGGAGAAAGAGAGAGTGAGTCTGTGTGGCTCGTCGATGAGGAGGGCGAGGGAGAGAAGCGAGGACGCACCGAGAGCACCCCACACGTCGCCGCTCTCTGGCGCGATGCCGACGACGCGTCCAAAGTACTCTGCCGCCTTCTTGAACTCCTCCTTGGACCGACAGATGGCGGCAATCTGCGAGAGCGCGACGACCGAGTAGGCGTTGTGCCGCAGCGCCGACTCGTACGCGGCGACGGCGCGGTCAAAGTCGCCAACGGCCTCGGCTGTTTGGCCTGTCATTTGGTGAAGAGTCAGCTCTGCGTGTAGGAGAGGGGAGATCCCGAGGGACGAGGAAGAGGGCGAGAGGAGGACGCACCGATCTGCAGCCAGGTGGCCTCGGCTTCCTTGCCGAGCTTGACGAGCGACTCGATGCGCGGGTGGTGGGCCATGGCGTCGGCGGCGTGGTTGCGCTCCTGGCCCATGGCGAGGATCTGCAGGACGGACGGCCCTTGCTGCGGTGGGCCGCCGGCCATGCTGAGCGGCGGAGGTGGAGGGTTGCCGTGCGCGCTCGAGTAGGCGCTGGATGCAGAGGGGGCGGCCATGGCGACTAGGCGATGTGGCTGTCGGGTCGGCAGATCGAGACCGGGAGGACAGGAGGGACGCCGGCTTGTCCGAGGCGACGGCGGTCGGTGTTCAGGAGCAGGGCGGAGCTGCGAGCGCGTGCAGGGCGAGGTGAGCGTGCTGAGCTCTGCGCAGGGTCGAGAGAGACAGAGAGGGCTGTGTGCGCACCTGGTGCGAGTTGTCGACTGGCGCGCCCGGGTTACGAGGCTCGGGATGACCCTGTGGCCTCGAGCGAGCGGACGGGTGGTCGTGAGGGTCGGGGCGGCGGTGACGGCTGGCGGGCGCGGTGCGGGGGGCACAGGAGTGGCTCGCGAGCTGTCGCTGGTTGCTGCACGCGCTCGTGGACGAGGGCGGGCGAGGGGTGGGAGGAGGAGCCCGGGAGGTCGAGGGAGAAGGGCGAGCGGCCGCTCGCCCAGGCACCAGGCACCCACAAACGCGACCGCCGGTCGCTCGAAAAGACCTCTGCACGTGGCGGTCCAGATCTGAAGCGACCGAGCCGGCTCTCGGCACTCGCAACTTCGAAGCTCCCCCCCCCCCCGACGTCTCTCATGAAAGAGGCTCCCGGTCGGCGCAGCAGGCGAAAGCTCGCAACGCGCGCGCGCTCGCACCTCGCACTTGCTCGCCTGGAGCTTCTCGCGTCCTCCGCTTTCGTGAATGCAAACTTGATCGCGGCGTCGCGCTCGCGTCCTTCGCCGGCTCGCGCACGAGATGAGCCGAGGAACCAGCGGCTCGAGAGCTTCCATCGTGGGTGCGCGGTGGCAGAGGCGATCCCTCTCGTACGAGGGAACGAGGACGACTGACGCTCGCCGAGCATGCGATTGCAAGGGGAGGGAGGAGGGACGGTCAGGGCGCGCGGCGCTCATGAGAGGGTCCGGGCGGCAGGGCACGCTCGCAGCGAGACCTCTCTCGAGATTTCGAGAGGCGCGCCCCCGGCGACAGCGAGAGGGTTCGTTTCACTGCAGGAACTTGCTGGTCGGTGCACTGACCGCTCGTCATCTGGGAGCGGATCGAACGTGGAGACGACGCTAAACCGCTCGCTCGGAGGGCTCAAGTCACCGAGGAGCGCGCGCGCTCAAAGGGGACAAGCTCTCTGGCGGCCTCTGCAGGTCAAACTGCGGCCGCGCGCGGTGGGCGGTCGCTCGGGACGCCATGCCTCTCTTCGCCCCCGCGCATGGACGACGTCGAATCCGGCGGACTTCCCGGCCTGAGCGTCGGCTGCGGCTCCGTCCATTCGTCAGCTCGTCCTTTCTTCGCTCGGGCCCTCGTTCAGCTTCTCGTCTTGGGCAGGGAACGTCGAGCTTGACCTCTGCGCTGTCGCACAGCCGTCGCAACGCAGCAAACCCGTCTGCAAAGGCTCACCCGGACCCTCGTCCGCGAGGTCGGTCCGCCCTTGCACGCACCGAGCGTGCCACTTTGTCACTTTCCGCTCGGCCCTGATCGTCGTAAGTTGCGCGCGAGAGGACGAGCCTCGATGCAGCCGGCCCGTGCGATTGCCCGCCGGCACGACGCAAGATCGTCAAAGACATTGCGCCCTGACCTTCCCATTTGCTCCGCGGCGAGCTCCCCGGACCAGGAGAGCGAGTGCGGGTGAGCGGGCGACCGTGCGGGTTGCTTTGACGTCTCGGCACGTCGAGGCGAACGCTCTCGCAGTATGTACTCGCAAGGTTGGAGCGCAGGTTCCGAAGCGGGCAGAGCAAAGGGCCGGCGCACGGTCCGCTCTCTCGCCGTCGACGACCTCCTCGCTGGCCCACGCGAGGCACACGACGACCGGGTTGCGAACAACGAGGCTCGGAAAGGCGCGGTGGAGCTTGCCCGACCGTGTGGAGAGGGGAGGGCGGGCGCCGAGCTGCGCGTCTTCTCGCCGAACCCAGACCTCTCCGCGCGCCCGGCGGCGTTCTGCCCCCCCTTGCTGCGCACGAGTGGGCTGCATCTCCCTCGCTGTGCTCGAGCTGGAGCGATCTCATCTTCGGCACCGCGTCCGGAAGGAAATTGGCGACCTTCTCAAACCGCGGGCGCGCTCGAGCCCGGTCGTCTTTTTGTGGACCTCTCCTCTCGCGCATCTGCTGCTTCGTGGTCCTAGAGCTCGACGAGAGAGGCACTGAACTACAGCGAGGAAAGCCGCTCTGCGAGAGACGCTGCACGATGCGGAAAAGGGGAGACAGCCGGGTGGCCGCTCGCCCCACCTCTGTCGCTGTGCGGCTCGCTACGCTACGACCATGGCCTCTGTCAAGCTGTCGTCTGCCCTCAAGGCCCTCGTCGGTGCTCCACACGCGCAGGGCGCGGCCTTGCCGGCTCCTCCTCGCGCCGCCGTGACGCAGCTGTTCGAGCGACTCGCAACCTCGGCAGCGGCACACGGCGTCGGCGAGGCAGCCTGGTTGACACTCGGGGTGCGCACACGCTCTCTCTCTCTCTTGGCCTGCAGCATGCCCGCGCAGCTCACCGCCTCGCCCGTGTGCAGAGCGCCGCCCTCGTCACCCTCAACTCGCCGGCGACTCTGTGCGAGCTGTACACGTTCTCGGCGGCCAGGCTACAGCAGCAGGGCCAGGAGCGAGTCAAGCGGGCAGCAGAACTCGCCGCCGTCATGCGCGAGGCCGGGCTCAAGACCATCTCGTTCTCGGGCATCCCTCGAGTGCGTCCTCGTCCCTCTTCCTCCTTTGGCCTCTCTTGTGCACGCAGCTGACCCTCTCCCACGACGTCCCGCGCAGGCCATCAACAACCTCGGCGCCTTGCGCTCGCACCTCGAGCCCGAGGTGGCCGGCCTCCTCTCGACCTCTCCGACTCGGTGAGCCCTCTTGCTCTCTCTCTCGCCGAGCCACGAACTCGGCGGCGCCTCTCTCAGTCATTCAAGTCGCTCATGCACTGACAACTCGTGGCATCTCGCAGGCAACCGACCCCCGACTCGCTCCCCACGGTCCTCTCGTCCGCCTCGTCGCTGTGGACCTCGATCTACGCGCCGCACTCGGACAAGCTCCTCAAGAAACTCGCCGAGTCGCACCCAGACCTGCCCGTCCACATCCTGTCGTCGCACTACGGGCCCCTCCTCGCCGACCCGTTCACGTCCGCCCCGCGAGGGCACGCCAAGGTCGGCCGCGTCCTCACGAGCGTCGTCGCCATCGCGTGCCTGCGCGCACAAGGCGGCGTCGGGCCCCAGGTGACGTCACACGTGTTTGGCCTGCGCAAGGCGGGCGAGGAGCCGGCAAGCGAGGGCGAGGACGTGCAGGGGCGCGAGTGGCTCACGAGCGAGGAGGGCGCGACGTGGGTCCTCGAGCAGGTTGACGCGCTCGTCGAGCTCGTCACGGCGGGACGAGGGTCGAGCTTTGCGACGAGGGCGAAGTTGTGAGCGCGAGGGACGTAGCGTCGTCGTGCAGTCGAACAAGCTGCCTCTCTCTCTCTCTCTCTCTCTCTCTCTCGCTCGAGCCTCTCGAGAAGACGCTCTGCAAGCCGAGAGCTGGCGAGACGATGCACAATGACCCAAACGATGCAGATGGAGCTCGACAAAGAGAGAGAAAAGCCGAAATGCGAAACTAAGGACCCGCTCGCGCCCCCTCCTCCCCCTCTCCCTCTCGCCGCTCCACCTCCTGGACCCAGCACTCAGACGGACCCGATCGCCTGCCCGACCTTGAGCTTCTCGCCGTTGGCAATGTTGAAGTGGAAGTCGCGCGGCGCCTCGAACACGAGGACGATGGTCGACCCGAGCCAGAAGCCGCCGACCTCGTCGCCGGCGCGCAGCGGCTGCCCGCCGAGGAGCTGCGACGCGTTGCCGTACGTCGCCTCGCTGAAGGTTCCGGGAACGACGGGACGCGAGGGCGAGTTGGTGCGGAGCGACTGTGGGCGTGCGAGGTTAGGTCGGCTTCGAGGATGAGTCATTCGCGCAGAAGGTGCGAGAGGGCAGGAACGAGGGGACGCACACTGTCAAAGTTGACGCGGATGCTGCCGACGTTGGTGGCACCGACGGGCGTCATCGAGAAGAAGCCGTAGCGCCACCGGCCGAGGAGGGCGACGCGCTCGTTGAGGACGAACAGGTCGGCGAGCTTGCCGACCATCCAGGGCGACACCGAGAAGAGCTCACCTGCGTCGCGATCGGGATCGAGAGTCAGTCCGAGAGACAAATAGGAGAGAGAGAGAGAGGCAGACGGACCGGCAAAGTGGCGGCGGCGCTCGACGACCCAGTTGGTCGGGCTGTGGAAGCGGTGATAGTCGCCCGGGGCGAGGTAGATGACGGCGAAGCACAGCTTGTTGCCCTCGCGGGGCTCAAAGGCGGCCTTGGCGATCTCGGTCGCGACCGCGACGTCGCCGCTGAGCGACCGCTTGGGCGCGTTGCGGTGCTTGTTCGCCTCGGCGTCCGAGATGGACGCGTCCTTGAGCGGCGCCGTGGTACTCGCCTGGGCGCCCGACGCCGCCGCCGACTCGTCGCCCGTCTGGCCCATGAGCTCGGCGAGCGAGTACGAGATGCCGTTCACGTTGGCAAACTCCCTCTCGTCGATCTTGGCGTCGTCGACGTCGTGCGGGTGCCGGGGCAGGCCGTGCGGCTTCTCGTCCTGGCCCTCGGTCGAGCCTGCACCCTGGAGGAGCGCCTCGAGCGAGTAGGTCGCGCCCTTGATCGACTGGATGCGGCCGCCCTCGATGACGCCAAAGTTGACGACACGCCCGTCGGCGGGCGACACCTGCGACGTCGCACGGGAGGAGCGTCAGTGTCTTCCGAGGCAGTGGGGGAGAGAGAGAGAGAGGGAGAGCGGGTCGCACGAGAGGCGCGTCGTCGATGGGCCGTGCGCCGGCCTTGAGGCGACGCATGAAGAACTCGCTCATGGACCGGTACTCGCGCAGGTCCGACTTCTCGCACTCGTCGAGGTTGACGCCAAAGACCCAGGCGTAGAACTTGTAGCCCGGGACGCGGAACCAGACGGGGAGCTCGACCGAGTTGACGAGGCCGTACAGGCGCGACACGGACCGGAGCGGGAGCGCGCCGAGGACGTGCACCTGCGCGCGAGGGCAAGGTCAGAGGCGCGTCGCCGAGACGAGGAGGCAGGGAGCGTGAGCGCACCTGCCACGGGCCCTGCATCTTGACCGAGCCATCCGGGAGCGGCTCCTTGCCCTTGTCCGAGGCCTGCTTGTAGAGCGTGAGGACGACGAGGACGGCGGCGCCGAGCGAGACGGGGATGGGTGACCATTTGGTCGGCGTCGACTTCCACCGGTTGCGAAGGCGGGCTGTCACGAGGGGAGGAGAAGAGCGTGAGCGCCCCACCCACCGAGACGAGGAAGGGGAAGAGGAGGGAGCGCACAGGTGAACGACTCGGGGCGGCCCTGCGGCTGCTCGGGGTGGGCCGAGGGGTCGTCGAGAGGCTGCTTGGACGGGCCGGCGAGGGGCTGGTGGTCGATGCCGCGGTCGAGAGGGCGCTGGTCGCGGTTGCGGCGGATCGTGGTCGAGAGGAGGCGGCGTGTGCCGGCCCTCGCGGCGCTCGGCGCGCGCCAGACGGCCTGTGGTGCGCTGAGGAGGAGGCTCGGACCGCGCAGGAGGAGCTGGGGCCCGCGCAGGAGGAGGTCGCGCTTGCGGAACGAGGCCGACTGGGACGACGCAGGCGGGGCGGCGGCGGCGGCCGTGTGGGCCTGGCGGGACGCGGCCGGGGCGCGGCGGTTGCGCAGGGCGGGCATCCAGCGAGGCATCCTGACACTCGAGGGCATGATCGCAGTCGGTCTGGCGCGAGGGGGACGGAGGAAAGGCGAGCGAGAGGAACGAGCTGCTGCCGCTCCTCCTCGCCGTCTCATCACCAGCTTGCACCTCTCGCACAGCCTCTGCAGCGCATTCGAGCCTGCGGTATCTGTCCCTGTATCGTACAGCTATCGCTCGGCGACGCGACCAACCTCGCACAGCTCGCACCCGTCGAGCCAGGCCCGCCCCCCGCCTCGCGTCCAAGTCGACCAACCTCGCCGACCTCGTCCGCCCAGCAGCCTCGTCAGTGCTCGACTTGAACGAGCAGTCGCAGTCTACACGACGCCATCATGACCAAGGTCCGCCGCAAAGGCGCCAGCGCGACCGACTACAGCCCGCGCGGCCTCATCGAGTGGTTCTCCCGACTCGACCTCGAGTACACCACGGGCGACGAGTACGACGAGTACGACGACAACGATATCGACCGCACGAGGGCCTCTATTCTACCGCCGTTGAGCGATCTCAAGCCGAGTGAGTCGCGACCCGAGCTCCTCTTCCTCGTTCCCTCGTCCTCGCGACCGCAGACAGCGCAGCGCTGACTCCCCTTTCCTGCAGTTCGCCTCGCCGAGATGGACACGACCAAGAAGTACTCGGGCCGCTACTTGCTGTGCCGCGCAAAGGGAGCACCCTTCCTGCGGTACGGGCTCGCCTTCCCTGCCGAGGACCAGGACGGCCACCTGTGCGTCCCCCTCTCTCTCTCTCTCTTCCCTACTTGCCCGACGTCCTCGACAGCCTCCTTGACACTGACATCGATCGTTCACCTGCAGCTTCATCGTCTACGCGCGCAACTATCCCCTGTACGGCGTCAAGCAGACCGACCTCGACAAGCTCTTCTTTCCCGGCACCGGCCTCCTCATTCGCGAGCCCGCCTTCACGTTGTCGACGACCGAGGGCATGCCGAGCGACGTCCGCGTCTCGTCGCCGACCGACATGGAGGTGTACAAGGGCGACAGCGTCGCGCTCGCCGACGTCGAGTGGGCGACCCGCTCGCCGTTCCGCCGCCCGAGCCGGGCTACGACCCGTACGCCGCCGGTCAAGCCTACTTGGACGCCGAACAGCCGTACCTCGCCGTCCAAGCCTTCACCGAGGCCATCGCGCGTGCCGAGACGCAGCAGGACACCGTCCGCGTCACGCTCAAGCGCGCGCACGCCAACCTTAAGGCCGGTCGGCCTGCGGCCGCCTACCACGACACGTCCATCGTCCTCATGTACCTCGACATGGGCGTCCCCGTCGCGCTCGGTGACCGCTCGGTCGCCCTCACGACCCGCCTAAACGCCCTGTCCGCGGCGGGCCTGCACGATCTCGCCGAGCTCGTTCGAGACGACCTGTTCTCGCTGCACGAGGACGAGGTGACAAGACTCGACGGCATCGACGAGGCGTTGGGCAAGTTCATCCGTTCGGGCGACGACTCGCACCTCAAAGGGACGACCGTGGAAGGTCAAATCGCCGCTTACAAGATGTACGGGCGCATCGAGGGTGCTCGCAGGCGGCAGCAGCACGCTCAAGAGTGCAAGAAGGCGAGCGAGTCGGGCGACTACAACCTGTTCCCGTTCGAGCAGGGGCCGAGCCCACCGCTCAAGCCGCCGTGCGACCGCCTCAAATTGCGCGACTACGTCGGCCCGATCCGCGTCGCGCAGCTCAAGAAGCGCACCGGCGGTCGAGGCGTCATCGCCACGCGCGACATCAAGCCCGGCGAGCTCCTCCTCGGTGAGCTGGCCCCGCTCCCTCTGGCTCCCTCTCTCGCGGACCTCGCTCACTCGCTCTCTCGCTCGCAGTCGAAAAGGCGTTCGCCGTCGCCGACTTTGGCACGCTCCACGACCTGTCGATCGACGCGCAGGCCGACCAGATCCCGCACCGACCCAAGCACGCGCTCGCCGCCGAGGTCGCCGCTCGCGTCCTGGACGACCCGTCGACGCTGTCCGTCCTCGAGTCGCTGTTCGACGGTCGCGGTTCGCCTGAGCGGCCGCTCGTGTTCGGCGCCCTGTCGAAGCGCAGCATCCCCAAGTACGCCTCGGCGCCGATCAGCCTCGACATGGACTGGGTCGAGCGCATCTGCCGGTTCAACGGGTGCGTCCTCCTTTCGCTCGGCCCGCTCGTCCCGGCCAAGGCCCACGCACTCACCGTCGTCGTCCCCTCGTGCAGGTTCAACTTTCCGCCGTCGTGCTTGCCCGAGCTCGACTCGCCCAACCTCGGCGCGCCGGGCTGGCGTACCTGGTCGGCCCTGTTCCTCAACGGCTCTGCGTTCAACCACTCGTGCCTGCCCAACACGTACCACAAGACCGTCGGCGACCTCCTCGTCGTGCGCGCTCGCGTGCCCGTCAAGAAGGGCAAGGAGGTCTACGTCTCGTACGCGCCGATCGACAGGACGCCGTCGCACGAGATCTGGGACGTCCTCGACCGGCACTTTGGGGACAACGGCTGTCCGTGCGCCTACTGCGTCGAGACCAAGGACGACGACAACAACGTGCTCGAGCATCGCCAAAACGCCCTCGACCAGTTTGATGAGGCCTTTGACGACTTCTTCGCTCCCCGCGAGTCGACGCCCGAGGCGTGCGCCGAGCAGTACGCCCACATGAGCACCATCGTGGCCGACATCTGCAGCACGTACATGGGCGACTGCAACGTCAAGCCCGAGCTCGTCGAACCGTACGCCAAGCTCGTCGAGGTCGCGAGCGGCGACCGTCGTTCCACCGACACGGTCTTGCACGGCCCTATGGCCGTGGCCTGGTCCAACGCCGTCGCCGCCGCCGGTGGAGCGTGCGACTTGAGCGGCGACGTGTGCGAGTTCGACCCGGCGCCGCTGTGCTGGACCGAGACGATCGTCGAGTCGACGTTCGAGTACGCGCAAGCGTGCATCGAGGAGGGCTCGCCGGCCGCGTCTGCGCGAGCTTTGCACCTCTTGACGATCTTGGCGAACCTGTCGCGCGTCGAGCATGGCGACAACCTCGAGCACTTCTGGCGACGCTGGCGCACGAACCTCTCCGAGTTCGAGGAGTTCAAGGAGCGACTCGTCGAGGGCATGGCCGAGGGCGACAAGTAGACTCTCTCTGTGTAGCTCGTCCGCAGTTGTATCATCGCATGTATCTCGTCATGTCCGGCTCGCTCTCGTCGCCGCGAGTCGTCGTCGTCGTCCGTCTCCTTCCTTTCCTTCTTTCGTTCGCGCTTCTTCCTTCTCGCTCTCTCTCTCGCTTTGCTCTCTCGGTCTCGGTCCGGCGACGACAGCAAGTGAGAGAAACGGAGATCATTGCGTGCGAGGAAGGCCGCAAGGGGGAGCGAAAAGAGGGCGAGGAGGTGTACAAACAGAGAGACGGCTCTACTCGAGGGAGGAAAGGAGGAAGGGAAGGCGCAGGCGAACGTCCGTGGTAGTGCGAGGGTCAAAGGGGCGATAAGGAGGCGAGTAAAGAAGGTGCGCGCCGAGTGCGGGGCGAGAGTGGGACAAAGAGGGGATACAGAAGGCGGGCCGAGAGGCGGTCCCTCGTCGTGCCGGCACGGATGGCGCGAGGAAGGGGCTCGCGGCTGCGCCGTTTTGAGGCAAAGAGGGAAGGTCGACGAGAGAGAGAGAGAGGGAGGATAGGGTGAGGGTACTGAAGGCGCGAGAGAGCGCGAGAGAGGGAAGGAAAGTCGAAGAGAGGGATTGGTGTGGGGAAGGTCGAGGCGAGGGAAGGGAGCTCAGACGACTGCAACGGGCACGTGAGGCGAGGTCAGTACGACGAAGAACGAGGACACGATCAAGAGAAGGAGGGACGCACAGAAGTGGGTGAGCTTGCGCGACGCCGGGTGAACGTCCATCTCCTCCATCTTGAAGCTGTTGAGCTCCTCCTTGATCTGCTGCGCGAGCTGCGGCGTGAGCCGGTTGCACGTCGCCGGCTCGGCCCGTCGGTCGTAGATGGCCGCAGGCCACGTCGTGTGGACCGAGAGGTTGCTCGCAAAGACGATGCGGCGGCCCTTGGCGGTCGCGGGCGGCGACGGGCGCATGCTCGAGCGCGACGAGAAGTGGTTGAGCGCCGGCGCCGACGCGTTGAGCTCGGCGTGCGCGTACGGGCCCGACGACGACGAGTCGGGGTGGATGCGGGCGGCGACGGCGTCGTGCATGAGCTCTTGCGAGGTCGGCGGGTGCGTGTCGTTGCGAGGCGACGTGGCCGAGGGACCGACGCCGTCGACCTGCTGCTCGGACGGGATGACGTCGACGAGGGCGGCGCCGGGACCGCCGGACGAGCCCGGCCGGCCGTGCTGCTGCGGCGAGTCGAACGAGCTTGCGCGGTTGCGGGCGAACGCCGACCGGGGTGCGACAAAGTCCTCCTGGCGGTAGGAACCGGCACCTGCGAGACCGAGTCGAGTCAGTCACGCGCGCTCTCGAGACTGTACGAGAGAAGAAGAGGGAAAGAGAGGGCGCACCTTTGAGGATGCCGCGAACAGGGCGGACGAAGCCGCCGTTGGGCGACGAGCCGTCGCGGTACAGGCTCGGCTCGTACTCGGACGACTCGGAGCGCTCGTGGCTGTACTGGCCCGGACCGTACGTGCGGTAGCCGGCCTGCGGCGGCGCGAGGATCTCGAGGCTCTGCCGCGGCGTCTCGTCGTCGTACTGGGCGAACGCGCTCGCGCCGCCGCCGCCGCGCTCGTTGCCGGCCGTCATGACCGACGCGCGGTCGTCGTTGATCGAGGCCGAGTCGTGCAGGTCCGTCTTGCTGCCGCCGCCGAACCCGAGGCGCCACTTCTTGCGCTCCTTGCCGCTGCGGACCGACGACACGTCCGACGTCGCCGACTCGGACCTCGCGTGCGCCGGCACCTGCTCGAACGAGCGCTGCGGCGGCCCGAGGCGCGCAGCTTCGGCGGCGGCGGCGTCACGAGCGCGCTGCTGCTCGGCCGCCTCCTGCTCGGCGTACGCCTGCTGCTGCTTGCGCGCGAGGGCCGCCGCCGGCGACATGCCGGCCGCCGTCGGCTTGGACGGCGACTCGAACTCGGCCGTCGCGTGCGAGACGCTCGCGGTCGAGGCGCCCGCCTTCTTGCGGTCCTTTTTGGCGAGCTTGGCGCCCGACGACGACGACGAGACGAGGACGCCGTCGACGGTGGCCGCGTCGTCGCCGTCCTTGGCGCCCTTCTTGAACGCCTTGGTGAGGCCCATGAGCGAGTTGCGGCTCGCGAGCTTGCCCATCTGGCCGAGCTTGCGGATCATGACGCTCGCGCTCGACACGGTCGACGAGATCGACAGGTTGTCGCTCGAGCCGTTGAACTTGCTGTTGAGCATGCGGAACCGGCTCGACGGCGGCTTCTTGCCCGACGCCGTCGTGCCCGTCGCGCCCGTCATCGTCGACAGGCCGTCCGTGTTGGTCATGATGCTCGCCGACGACGACGCGAGCGACGCCTGCTGCGGCTGGTGCGTCGAGTAGGCGTGTCGGCGCGGCGTGTCGTCGCCCTCGGTGTCCGAGCTGTCGCGGCGGAGGTGGTCGTCGACGAGCTTGGGGCCGCGCCCGTCAAAGTCGGCCTCGGTGAGCGTGCTCGAGCTCGCCGAGTTGGTGACGCCGAACGCCTTCTTGAACCTCGACTTCATGCCCTTCTTCTCCTTGTCCTTGCCCTTGGCGGCGGCGGCGAGGGAGGAGGAGGAGGAGGAGGAAGTCGGCGCAGGAGGCGGTGCGGCGGCGGCGGCGGCGACGAGGCCGGTCGAGATGGTCGCGGTCGCCTCGGCCGTACCGTCCGACTCGACGCCGTCGTCCTCGCTCTCCTCGGCAGCGTGAATCGGCGCGCCGAGCGGCGAGGGCCTGCCGCGCGCCTGCACGGGCGTGGCCGAGCGCGCCGAGTCGAACGACGGGCCGCGCAGCGTCGACGTCGGGCGCGCATCGGGACCGAGCGACGAGCCCGACGACGCCGAGTCCTGCCGGGCGTGCTGCAGCGACGACGAGCTCGACGAGTTCTGGCTGTCGGTGCGCTGGCGGTGGACGGAGGACGACGACGACGCCGCCGAGTGCTGCGCGACGTGGCGCACGCTGCCGTTGGGCGACGAGCCGCCCGAGGCGCCGAGCGAGTGGATCGACGACGACGAGCCGTTGCGGATTGGCGGCGGGAGCGCGTGCGCGTGCGGGTAGTTCTGCTGCGCGGCGAGCTGGGCGATCGACGCCGAGCTGTCCTGCCGGCCGTGGTGCGACGTCGACCGCCTGCCGCCCGAGCCGTTGCTGCTCGCGCTCGACGGCGCCGAGCGGTGCTGCTGCGACGCGGCGGACGAGGGCGCGGACCTGCCGTCGCCTCGCCGGTCGTCGCGCCGGTACGGGTGGTACGCCTCGGCGCGCCCGTTGTTGCTGCTGCTGTTGGACGAGCCCGACTCGCCGCCGCTCCGAGCGCCCTCGGTGCTGCCCGGCGGCGTCGGGTAGCCGTGCATGCTGACGTGCGGGAGCATGGCGCCGGGAGGGAGCGACGGGCCCGTCAGGCCGAACGGGACCTGGTGCTGGTTCTGGTGGAGCGTCGCGGATGGGGAAGGAGGGTAGTTGCTCGGTGTCGTGTAGTACGAGGGCGATGCGGTGGCGGCAGGTCCCGAGCTCGTGCGGCGGCGGTCTGTGCGCGAGAGAGGAGGCAAGATTGTCAGGAAGGAACCTCGAGATCGACCGCAAGAGAGGTGGGGACGCACCCTGCGTGTTCTGCTGCTGCTGCTGCTGCTGGCCCTTGAGGACCTCGAGCTGCCACTGCTGCTGGTACTGGTGCATGCGCTTCTGCTGCTCGGCCGACAGGTGCATCGCGTTGGCGCCGCCGTTGAACCCATAGCCGTTCATCGGCGCGCCGTTGGCCAGGTTGCCCGGGTGCGGCGACGGGATGAAGGGATAGGCGGGGTGAGGGTAGGCGGGCGCGAAAGGACGGAAAGTTTGCCCGGCGAACGAGGGGTGAGAGGCGACGGCCATGTTGTGGTGGTGGTGCTGCTGCTGCTGCTGGACCGGGCCGGGGAGGTAGGTCTGAGGCGAGTGGCTGAGAGCGGGCGAGGGTGCTGCGCTGCCGTACTGGTTGACGGGCGCAAGACGAGGGAGGGCGGCCGGCGCAGCCGACGACGACGTGAACGAGGCTGCCGACGACGACGACGCAGATGGAGCGTGTGCGGCCGAGCGCGACGACGACGACGACGACCCTCGCGCGCCGTTGGCCGTCGGGCTCGGCGAAGGACGAGCGACGGCGGCCGGTCCACCTGGACCCGGAGGGGACGACGCGGCGCGAGCGGGCGCTAGCGACGGCGCGTCGGCTGCAACGGCAGGTGGGCCCGCCATGGCCTGCTGTGCGCCGTCGTCTGCTCGCGGTGCGCTCGCCGTGCGCGCGCGAGCTGCTGGCGCGCCGCCGATCGAGCGGACGGCGCCTGGTGCCCCTCCTGCTGCTGGCGCCGATCCCTGCTCGGCGTGGGTCCTGGCCAGCGACCCTGCGCTCGCACCGACCGCGCTCGTTGCCGCGCCGTGTGGTGCGCTCATCGATGGCGCGGTGCTGGCGAAGGACGAGGGTGAGGGAGGGTGGGCCGAGGGACTGGAACGGCCGACGAGGTGCGACGAGTCGGCGGGCCCGCGCGACAGGACGGGGGCAGA